AAAAAATTATTTTACGGATTAGCAAAACAATGAATTTTTTTTTTCATCCGTCTGGTAAAAAAATAATTAATTGGGACAAAATTTTTTTAGAAGACGCCTAGCTCTCACTCAAAGTCAAGTCTCATCGCTGAAGGGACCGAAGGTCTGTACTCGATTCCGGAGGTAAAACGCGAATCCTCTTTCTAATTATTTTCCTTTTCTAACAATCACAGTCTCAGTTTTACGATGTTGGATCTATTGCATTAGCAATCGAATCTGCTGTTTTTGCACCTTTTATTTTATTTTATTTTTTTGGATCTGCGAATCTAGGGTTTTGGGTTTATTGGTATTATGGGCAATTGTCTTAACCAAAATGCAATCTATTTTGGGTTTTGTGGATTTTGCTTAATCCTTGAGCTGAAAGTGAAATCGATGACCGCTTAGAACGAGTAGATGGGATGACTTTGAGAAGCATTTAGTTTGAAAAATTCCCATTTCCGGAGTTCAATTTAAACTAAAAGTTTCAGTCTTTGGAAATTACTGATTTTGGATTTGTGTTCTAGGAGATATTGATTCTTGTATTAAGTGGCAACATAGAAATTTTTCTTTTGATTTTTATTTATTTATTTATTTATTTATTTTTACAAATTGAGAAAATGTCCTGTTTTTAATTGTCTTATATGTTCAAATGACCCAGAAAGCTCCTCTGTGCCGGTTATTTAGCTGCTTCTTTTTCCATGTAAGCATAATCTTTTCTATATTTCTCATATATATATATGCCTTTCTAATTTGCACTCGATGAAGTATTTAGTTTCTAAAGTTCCTTCACTCTTACAAGACATTCCCCTGATATGGAAGCATTGTAAAAGGCATACAGCATGACAGTTGTACTCATTTTCTTGTAAAGATATAGGTAAAATTGGAAACAGCCTACTGCAAAAGCTGTCTAGTTAGAAATAAAGCAAATCGAGGAAGTGATAATAAATTGTGCCATGTGGTTACAGTCATCCTCAATCAATTTGTTTTGGAAGTTAAAGAAATTTTCTTATCTGCTGAGTGGGTACTTGTTTAAAAGCGGTTTTCATGTAATTGATATTTCTAAAAGTACTATGGATTTTGATCTTTAACTGCTCATCTTTTCAACTCAATTAAATTTCTTATTGTAAATTATAAAATATTTCACTTACATTTTAATTAAAAGGATCTATGATGTCTTAATTTCAGTATGATGCGATTTTCCTTTACCATTCTTGTCCCTTGACTCCTTGTGCGTGATCCACTTTTTTTTTTTTTTGGTTGATTTAGGGCGGACGAGGAAGTTGTTGATCAAAAGAAGTATCTTGAAGAGTCTTGCAAGCCTAAATGTGTGAAACCATTACTTGAGTATCAGGTTTGTATAATCTAGTATATGGTACTGTCTAAAATTTGAACTAGTTTACTAGTAATTTATTTCATCATCCCTTTTTAGTACATAATTGTTGGGTGTTAAATTGGTTCTGGACAGATCATATATAAAAACATGCAGATGCCATAGAAATCATGTAAGAATAACTAAATCTAGAAATTGATTCAAACTTGGAACAAAGGAATTAAGTAAAGATTATAATGAGTAAGAAAGTCCTCTTTAGTTGATTCATAAATCCCATTCATTGAACAAGAGATTTCTTTGGTCTCTGATAACTGGAGCATACTTGGCATCTCACTTTATGTCAAATTTCTGATTTAATCAATTTGAAATTGGGAACCTGTTTTGATTTCGTGCAACATGGTAATCTTCTGACACGGAAAAGTTCACTAAGAAATTACAGTATCATTTAGTGAGACATTGTAGTTTTTCATCTTTTTCTTAAAATGTTTGATATTCTCGTCCTGAAGATCTTATTCTCTTATGTTGAAACATTTGT